CAAGTTTTGTAATACACCCTTGTCTAGAAGTGCAACCCTTATGGTAAACTGCAAAAATTTGTTTGGTTGATGGCAACTCCGTGAGTTGTAATTTCGCCCATATAAAGAATGATTGAAATATTTTTATATGGAAGAAAATGCTTAATAACGCCAGCAAAAAAAGGAAAAAAAGAGGAAATTCAAACTTTCACTTAACATAATACACTAAAATTGCATGAGTTATAAAACTGCCTAGACGGATTTTTTAGTTCTTATTAAAAAATTTGAAATTTGTTGTTGTTTTAGGTTTTAAATTTGGATTTAAGTGGTTGTGGTTTTAAGAAAAGCTATAATTTCATAAAAATGAATAAACATTAAACCAACAAAAAAAAAAATAATCAAATGTCGCGCTCATATTATTTTGACCATAGCTATACTCGTACATGTATTAAGTTAAGGCCTCCAACTCACGACTTGTGCAAACTTTAAACCAGTTTATTAAAATTATTCTAATTTCGCCTTGACTTTAAATAATTTTTTGGTTTTGGGTATTACGCATTTTCTTCCATACACAACAAAAAAATCCCACACACTTTGTATGAAAGAAAATCCGTGAAAAATTGCCAATAATCAATAAAAACCTAAACAGAAATTTTTATAAAAAGTTCACAATTTAGATAAAACTTTGCAGAATTTTCATAATATTGGAACCAAGTTTTAAACCTGGAATTATATTGTTGAAACTAAAAACATTAAAAAAAAACTCCTTCAAAAGGAAACAATTTATTATATCGAGCCCTAACCGCCAAAATAACGTAAGCGACATTTTTTTCAAAATTTTCTTTTTCATGCAGAAATATTCCTAGAGCATCTAGATGCATTTCTGCATCAAAAATAAAATTTTGAAAAAAATTTCGCTTACGTTATTTTGGCGGTTAGGGCTCGATATATGCTATACATACATAAAGAGATCAAAAATGTTGTTAGTCGCAGTTTTCTTACACACATACATATTTACAAAAGTATACACATTAACTGGAAGTACACAAGTTGTGAAGTTAAGTTATTTTCTGTTGGGTTCAAATATTAATGCTGTTGCATCTGTTTTCCATCAATTAGAGGCATAAATTTGAATTTACTTATTGTTGTTGCTTTTAGATAACAATTACTTATCTGTACTCAAATGCTTATGTATGCATATTCCAATGTCATGTATGGGTATACCAAGTATGTGTGTATGTAGGAGTGGGTGTTTATTTATAAGGTAGATGACTTTACCGAGAGGAGAGCCTTTATGTATATATGTATATACATATGTATATATGAAGTACAGGCAGAAGTTCATAATTGAATTTACTACAATACAAGTAAGTATAGATATGTGGCACTAAATGCGTACTACCTACCCTGCAGGGAAACCTCGGACTAGTGAATCAAATTTCTAGTTCCGTACTAGGTCTTTATCGCCAAAAAGGAACTAGTCCGATAGGAACTAGATCCCCACCAGGCCAAAATCGGCGAAAAGTGGTACTTTTAAAAAACGAATTTCTTCAGTTTTTTTCACTAGAAATCTAAAGTGACGAATTTAGAAATGGTTCGGAACTATCGAATAAGGGATGCAGCTTGGGGGGCTTGTTTACTTTACATAGATATGTGTTCGGCGGCTTTTTCGTTCAAATACGCTTCTATTCTGCGCTTCGCAGATGCTTTTTCATAGCTTGGTAATACAAAACTAAAGTTTGTGTTAACATTTCAACATCTTGGGACCGTCTGGAATCTAAGAAATAACAGCGAGCACCTCTGCACACTCAGCTACAGCTAAAGGTATGTAAACGTACATTTCTTACAATCATTCAAACAAATTTAATTTCAAATTGAAAACACATTAATTCCAAAATAACTTAAAATCGCACACACGGAAGAACCAAAAAGATTGAAAAATCATGATACTTTTTTCTTTCGTCTGCCGATTTTAGAACTGGTTCGGAACTATAGAATTTAAGACTAGTTCGGAACTATCGAAAAAGGGATGCAGCGGGGGGCAATTGACACTTCCTGGGACATCGCCATGTTAAATTCGCCAGTTGCTTGCATGCAAAAGAGATTTATCGCGAACCAGTACTGGGTCTAAATGTACTAGAAGCGCACCAGTTCAGAACTTGAGATTTTCCCCACAGGGTAAATATGTATACATATTTACTTATATGCATATGTATTAAGAAATGCGTGGATAGAGAAAGGCAAGGTAAGCGTGGAGCCTTGTGACGTCTATAACGGTGGCTTTGAGAGAGATTCCGTCGCCGAGTACTGGCGTTTACCCCGGTGGACGAACGTCTAGCCACAATCCACATCAAGGCGAGATTGTTGAACATCAACGTACGAATAGCGATTATGCGGCTGAAAAACAACAAAACTGCTGGAGCTGACAGCCTACTGGTTGAGCTATTCAATTACCGCCTTTCGAAATTTACTGAGTTATCAAAATTTATCATTTTACCAAAATTTATCAGTAGTTATCAAAACGTATCGAAATATGAAAATTTCAAAAATGTATTTAAAGCTATCGAAATTCGAATTAATCAGATTATAAAAATTAAGTGAAGTTTAACGATTTATCGATGGTTATCGAAACTTATGGACAGCCGTCGAAGTTTATCAATAGGTATCGACAGTTAAAGCTTTTTATCAAGACTTAATGATATTTAACAATAGAAATCAGTCGACAGCTATCGTAATTTAACGAAACTTATATATACATAGCTAAGTTAAAGATAGTTACCGAAACCGATAGAGATTTATAGTTATTGGGTTTCATCGAAAGGTATCGAAATTTATTTATTGTTATCGATATTGCACACAGCCATTGCCCCTATTCGGAAATGCGTCAATTTGGGTATGCAGTTTTGTAGCCGAATAGATTTTATTCCAATAAAAGGCAAGTTTATAGTAGCTAGGACTTAACTTTTGGTGAAGCTGTTGACAACTTTTTTCTTATAATGTATGTTTTTGCTAGGAAGAAAACAACAAACCCTTAAAAAAAGTTATGACGTTTTTGAATGCACTCTTCCTGGTGCGCAGCAGAATTAAAAATCAATGGTGACATTGTTTTACATGAACTGTACAATCGTGTTTCATTAGAATTTTATTACTTTCCATCGCTTCCTAGTGAAAAAATAGGGGTATTCTCTGAGTGTTGCAAAGCCCTTCCACGGTGCACAGATTGCACTGTAAAAACCGGTTTTCGTATGGGACAGCTTTGCAAACCGTGAAAACCGAGCACCGTGCAAGCGCTTTGCAAGACTCACAGAATACGCCAAATGTAAAATTTAAAAATGTTTTTTTTTTTTAAATCTTGGATATCTCATCTCTCATTGATATTTATGGGTACATCGCATTCTCCAAAGTCGGTAAACTATTCCAATAACATTTCGCCAAATACGCGCGTGGCGAAATCTCGCGCAAACCGAGCCCAGCTAGTCGACTGCTGAGTTGAAGATCGACCTATCTCGACAGCCAGTTCGAAAACGCCCTATCTCAAAAAACTTCAAGAGCGCCCTATTTCAGAATTTAGTTGAAGAACATCCTATCTCAGAACTCGGTTCAAAAACACCCTATCTTACTTGAACCGTTTTTGAACCGAATTCTGAGACAGGGTGTTTTTCAATTAAATTCTGAAATAGGGCGCTCTTGAAAAGTTGTTTGTGATGGACGTTTTCAAACTAGCTGCCGAGAGAGGTCGATCTTCCACTCAGCAGTCGACATATAAATTACTTATAACCATTTTTTACCTTGTCTTTGCGTATGCGTACATTAATTGTACATGCATATGTACTACATATGTATGTATGTACGTACATATATACATTGTACATCATTCAAGTGCAATTGCTACGCTTATCAAAAAGTAAATGACAAAAAATCATATTGATAAGCAATGCCACATTGTGTGTACAAAGATATATGTCTGTACATTAGGGCGGAGTAATTTGTTCGGAGCAAAATTTTCGAAGAAAATGTATATCAAATTAAAATTCTACGATTAATTCCTAGCAAAAATGGCGATTCAACCATGTACCAAAAACGACGTTTGACCCTCCCAATTTTCAAAAGAAAAAGCAGTATATTGCCACTTTTTTGATCGGAATTTATTTTTCATTCTACCAAAAAATTCTCTATTTTCTCGGTTTTGTGAAGTTGTTTCTTAAGTATGAAGAAAACAAAAAATTTTGTAAATAAAAAATTAATTTCGGTCAGAAAAAAATTATAATACACTGATTTTTCTTTTAAAAATTGGAGGGGTCAAACGCCATTTTAGGTATATAGTTCGTTTACCATTTTTGCTTAGGATAGAACGTAGAATTCGAATATGCCATACACTTTTTCCAAGTTTAATTACTCCCCCCTAATCTTCATACATATGTATGTACATACATACGTTTATTTCCATATCTTCTTTGTGCGATTCCAGTGAAATGTATCAACACTCTACCTTTTGAATTTGCGCTTTCGAACAGAGCTATTCTTCAGGCTGGCACAAAAGCACTTCTTTTTTGACACAACACAATACACAAAGTCATCGTCATTGACGCTGTGATTTCATTGTCATATTGGAGCGGCTGATTGTTGTCATTGCCTTATAGCTTTTCGCCGCGGCTGGGCCATTTGGCGACTCACCTGCGCGCAGCAGCGCTTTTGCCAGCCGAACGAGAGCTTGACGCGCACAACCCATCAGCTCCAACGCTACCACCACCACCACCACCACCACCACCACCTCCGCCACGAGCACATCCAACCAAAAGCTAAACGAATAAATGCGGTTTGAGTACTTTAATTGCAAATCGGCCGCAATGTTGCTGTTGCTGCTGCCGTCGCCGCCACACCCTTCAGCCCACTGCGTCCACGCACCTTTGTGCCTTCTGCCAGCTAGCGGTGGTATACCGCACGATTTGTACACGGTGTATTTCTGCGTTTTTTTTATCGCTTTTATTGTTTTTCTTACTTTTTTATTGTACTGATTTTTGTGTTTCTGGTGTTGAGTGGCTGTACGGGTACTACGACGACGGCGGCGGCGGCTATGGCTATAGCTGCGGCTACAGTGCACGGCCGCTCGTTAATTGATCACTCAAGTCGGTGCTCCCAGCATATATGTATGTATGTATGTATGTACATATGCATGGGGAGCGCGCGGCGGCACTGGGCCACATGAATGCGCGCGCACGCCAACAAGGCGTTTTTTTCAATCAGTGAGTAACAGAACTCCGTTCCTGGCGTATTATACGTTTCATTTACAGCGGCGGTAGTGATTTTCGCTTTTCTACTTCTTGGCCTATTCTAGACGCATATCAACACCACTACTACATCTGCGTTTCATCGACGTTATCGTCATGGTCGTTGTCTTCGACTTCCCTACATTTTTCTAGAGCTCTGCTAAAAAGGCCTCTTGAAGTATTGTTCGCACCAATTTGTTTGAAGACTCAAATTGCTTAGCGAAGTGTTGCGTTGATCACGTACGGGCATAGTATTTCGTATTTACTTATTTATTTTACTTATTTGCATATCTACGGTTGCGGCAATCTCGGAAGTTGTATGCGTGGGAAGTTGCGTACGCGGCTGTTGCCAAATATAGCAACTGACAGCCGACAAATGCAACAACAACTAAAATAAACTCAACGCGATAGCCGTAAACAAGAAAATAAGCAAAAGTGAATATGTACATAGTTTTCAGTTTTGTTTACACTCGAATGAAGCACGCGGTTAATACTCCAAGTGATCATGCTTGTCATGTTGATCATTTCCTACTCTCAGCCGTTAAGGACTTGATCAGAAAGAAAATTGATTTCTTAATCAACTGAATGTGCAGTGAATTTAGCACCAAAGCAATGAAGTTCTATTGAAAAGTGAAGTGTTTAGAAAGTGATCGTGAAGTGATCGAGAGATCTCCATTTGGAATCAGTGAAAGTATGACAAACATGTAACAAAAAACAAAAAAACAAAAAAAAAACGTAAACGTTGTGTGATAAAAACTGTACTTTAAAAGTTACATACATAAAATTATGTATGGTCGGTTTAGCATGGCGCTTAAAACCAATTTCGGTGCAATTTCAAACTCAAACATAAAAGTTTACCCCAAAAGCATGTTTTTTTTTGTAAAAGTTTGCTCAAACAATCCAATATTCAAATACATAACACTGGTGATTTTATTTAATACAATTACTGTAACGGCTAGGGTGGGCCTTAAAATATCAACATAACAAAAAATAAAAACAAACGAAAATTTGAAAAATTAAAAAAAAAACATACCAAGATTTGATAAAATTTTATTGTTGTTTGCCGCGAAAATTCGACATAATTTGGACTTGAGGTCTGATAAATTTGACTTACTTATTATCGAGACATATTCAATTAAATTGATAAACTCGCGGAGTTGTAGCTGGTCAAAGTCAAAATTTATTGAACTTTTCCCGATAAAAATAAATAAACCTTTTCCAACCCTGCCCCTAAAACTAGGATTATAATTTTCGTGGAAAATAAAATGGGAAATTTGTACGTAGAACAAAATAATGGGGACACCCCATGATTTTCATATTTTTAGGGACCACCCTAGCATCCTTCGATTGGGTTAAGTAGGACTTCTGTTATCCTATGCAACCTGTAACAATGAAGAACTTTCGGAAGAGAATAGGAAGTATTAGGAAAGCGTTTCTGGTCCTTACAAGATTCTTTCAATCGATTATCATCAGTAAGCTTTTGGCTTGGCGAAGCCCTATTGCGTTATGCCAGTGTTGTTCTTTACTACTACTACTAATCGTTCCTTTCCTAAGCGATGGGAATCGCCATTAAGTATTTTTTATAAGTATTCGAAAAATTACGTCTTTTGCGAGTTAATAACGTTTTTCCTACAAAGTGGGACGTTTTATCTTGCTACACGCCTGGCTGCCTCGGTTGGAAAAGATGTGCCGCCCTTAAAAAGTTTACGCACACACCTCAGATACCCATTGTCATTTTCGTAAGAGAATTTTTCATTTTTATTTCGATATATTCCTGGGCGGAAGCTGGAAGCTTTTCGAACCTAGCCTATCAAGGTCCTCGTAAACGTATTCTTCGAAGTGTAGGCACTTCCGTAGAGATTGGATTAGATTAGTTAGATTTTGTGTGGTATCTTAAGGGGGAAGTATCCTGCTAGCACCTCAAAGTGGGATGGCTTACTTTCAATATCAAGGATCATTCAGACACCCTAACAATTTAAATTTTTTTAACTCCCTGTGTAACTCAGTTCGGATTGAAAATTTGTAGAAACGCATCGTCCGAGGTCTATCCCCAAAACATTCTCACCGAGTGGTTCATCTGTCCGCCTAGCATATGAATAAGAGTAGGTATCATAACAAACAATTTCCAAAGAGAAGGCACCAACAATCAATTTCGTACTCAGTTTAAGGTAGACTTTTCGAGGTTTAGCGGGTTAGTCGCTGTTAGTCAGGCCTAGAAATCGTTGTTGTTTTCATAATATTTAGTCATGTAGAAGGATTAAAAAATGTTTTAGAAATTAATAGGGAGCTCCTAGCAAAAGGGGCCTCCAACAATCTTTCAACGGCTCATCCTTCCTACTTCTACTTTCCGTTAGAGGATGTGAGTGGAGAAAGAGCGCATTGGTTGTAGTGATCTGTGTTAACAGAAATGATGTCGATGCTACTAAGGATACTAGAGCGTTCCGATCCTGAGTATATTAAGCTCGCGGTGCCACCGACCGAAGTCTGGCCGTAGCTCCACAAGACTCTGATGCTAAAAAAGTATTTCAAAATCAGTTTCTTACACGAATTATATTAAAGAAATGATCACTGTGTACAGTTTACCGAGGCAAACCAACAAAAAAAGTATATACAAAACAATCACAAACACAGATTCCGGAAGCAAAATCCAAAAATAATTGCCACAGCCAACTGGCGCTCAGGTGTGAAAATAGCGCGCGTCTCACCTGCCACCGCCAGAGAAGCGCGCAACAAGGTGATGACTTACGCGCGCGCTGACTGCCGCCAGCTTGCGCGCTTCACCATACCCAACGCGCGCACTCTACTCACGTGTTGCCTAGCTACCATGCTGTTGCATTCATACAATTCGAGGCACTTGCCGCTTGCAAATTTGCTAAATCGCTAATTCGCATAAACCTCTAACCACAAAATGCAATGCTGCATTTGTGCAACATCTAACGCGTTTTTCTTTCGTTTTTGCAATCTGCATATCAGTGTGTGAGCGCGCTGCCGCTGGTGGACGTTCATTAGCCGCTGCCACTGTCTGTCATGGGGCCGTTGGCGCGGCAATTGACAGTACTTGCTTGACCGTCGCGCCGGCAATAGGGCAGGCAACTAACTAATAAAAGGGAGGAGCAAAAATTTGAAACAAACAAAAGATTTGTGTGTGGGTGTGTGTGTAGCAAATAAAAATATGTAAATTGCAATAAACGGCAGAATTCGCGAAAGCCGCAAAAAATACTCGTTCATAGTTGGCAAAAAAAAATTAAATAAGTGATAGGTATAAAAACAGACATATGCAAATTATTATAAAAATTTACAAAGTGCAATTTTGTTTCAAACAAAAAAGTCTACACACGCATATACTTTCATACACACACATATGTATATATAAATGCTAAAATCCGCTTACATATATTTGTTAATTATTGAATGAGCACATTCACAAGTGATTCTATATAGCAGACACACGGACACACATATAAGTTAGATATCTAAATATATGCAAATGTGTTTTTGTATGTCAACTTGTTTATCGCCATAGCGATCGTTGTGGAGCAGCTGGTCGGTCGAGCAGTCAGCCGCGAGCCGGTAATGCTACAGGTGACATCATCACCAATAGTAAACATAGAGCAGCGCAAAAACAGCGAAGCCACGAAACGCAAATCACAATAAACAAAGCGGTCACATTCAGCGCGTTGTCGTGCGCTGTACAAACTAACACTTTAGTAGTACATACTTACATACATAAGTATTATCATAGTTAGCAGAAGAGGGGGAGTGAGTGCGCACACAAAAAACTACACACAGCACAGAGCACAGAGTGCAGTGCGGCGGCTGGCTTTTTGGGGGTGGCAGATCGTCGGCGCGACGCAAGCATATCGACCGCTCAAACGCTTGCATTTTGTATCTACGCCAGATCATTTGTTCTCATATGCGTAGTGAATGGTTTGAATAAAAACTAATTATTTCCAGCGCATTCCCATTAATTATATGCGTATGTATGTATGTATGTACATATGTACATACGCAGCGCTCCAAAAGTAGAGCAAACGCTGAAGCTCAATGGGCCCGGATTGTTAATTAAAAAACTGAGTAAAAGTTAGAAAACGAAAAAATAGCAAAAGAAACAGAATCTGCTAATCTTCGCGAAATTTTGCGGTAATTAATTTAAAAACTAATCTTCATATTGAAATGTTGAAGACAAGCAAAGCACACACAAAAAATAAACCTGACTAAGAAAGCAGCGTTCGTAGTGAAACAAGAATGACTAATCAGCTGGTTTTAGAAGTGTTTATTTAGTTAAGCTTAGCAGTCATTTATTTAAAATGATGGACACGATGGTGTACACATTAGGGCGGGTTAATATGTTCATGAAAACTTAACTCAAGAGAGTCACTCATGGAAGCAGAAAGAAAATTTGTGTTTCATCGATGTGTATGTAGAGGTCAAAAACTGTTCTTGAGAAAAATCTATAGGCTCCCAGATCATTGGTCTGTATTCATGCAATTGGCAGATGGTCTTATCTGCACAGATTTCAACGAAGAACACGAAGTTTACCAAAAGCCCTAAACACTGAGCGTTCGGCTCTGGAGCTCTCCAATGCATATAAAACTAGTATACTCAACTGTCAGTTTAATCCTTGAGCGGCACGTGCGCAACGTATCCATTCTGACGGCGCTATTTAGCTGGCGATATCTTTTATTGACTTCCTGAAGTGGTCCAGGCAGCCGCTACACAGTGGTCCAAAACTGGAATTATATGTTCATACATCACTGGAGCCTTCATTTTTCAATCAATTTGATTAATTTTAATGAAATTATAAAATTTGCAGGAGACCCGATTGGCCCTATTTTTATTTTTTTACTGCGTTATATTGAATTTTTTAGTGCAAAGTAAAGAAAAAGTAACAATTTCTTAAAAAAAATCGATTCTCCTGTTCCAGTTAATGAATGTTACGTAATAAAAACTAGTTAAAAATAATTGTGGGGTTCCGCTAAAACGAAAAAAAATATAAGAAAAATCGAAATGTATTGATTTTTATAAAATCGCAAATTTATAAAGTATTAAATTTTGGTATAATAAAGTGCAAGTTTCGAGTGGCTAAGTGCTCGCATTGATTTTTAATATTTTTTTAAGTATGCTCGACAGTTTCTACACAACGAAAAAAAAAAATAACAAAAATGAACGCGGACTCTTAGCCACACGAAACTTGCATTTTATTATGCTAAAATTTGTATATATACTTTTTATTAAATATTAAAAAAAAAAATTGTTTTTGGTGAAAGTTTTTTTCAAACATCGATTGTTTGTGATTTTTTTATGAAATTGATTGCAAAACTTAGGTTAGGTTTTTCATAACATTTCGATTTTTCTTGTGGATTTTTAAATAAAATTTATTGGAATATGAAGGCTCCGGCAAATTGTGAACATTAAATTTCAGGTTTGAACCACTGCGCGCTGCAGCGGAGTAGTTAGAGGCACGAAAACAACGCGTGCAGAAAAATGGTTAGAGAAGCGTACTACCACTACTGGTCAAACTAACATCCGAAAAAAAAATTACAGAAAAAGATTTTTTTTTTCAAAACAGCGGTCGCTCCTCGGCAGGCATGGCAAACCTCCGTGCGTTTTCCTGCCTTCAAAACGCATCCATTTGTCGTTCGGGTTCCTCTATTTGTGTAATAACATCAAGAAACATATTGGCGGAGAAGCTCGGCCAAACATTCATCAAGAGTGTAAGCGCCTAAAAAAATAATTTTTATTATTGAAGCAGTCACATATATATTTTTTGTACTGTTTCCGGTTCTATACGTTACCTGTTTCACCCATTCTTATTACTTGCCGCTGTACTTCGCTGATAACTTCGAGTGTAGTGTCAAGAAATGCTTCGGACGTCGAGCTTAACGCAGCTATTTAATTCTATGCAAAAAAGGCATTCTTGCAAACTCTCTTTCGCTAAGCAGTATTGTTAAATTGCCTGCTATTTATTTGCATAAACTACACAAAAAATTATTTCCTGAAAAAAAAAAAACAAATATATTTCTTTGCAAACTCATATTCAATCTGACAATCGACTAACGGATAACTGAAGGTTTAATTATTAAGTTCGGGAAGAAAAGATTTGGTTAGGAATTTTAGGTTGCTAAAAAATTTTGGAACATAGTTTGGAATTCGAATTGACTTATGACCTTTACTTGGTCATATCTGAAATCCGTGCACTTTTTTGGCTTTTTTTACACCTTGCTATTAAATTCAATATAATTGGAAGGCTCAAGATTTCTTTACAAACTATTTTGTACCACATTTTCTCAAGAAAAAATTTGTGATTTTTCTTGAGAGCTGGAAACTAAGCATTACTACTAAAACTGATAAATAGCTTTTCAAAAAGATTTTTTTGTAAAATTTTAATATAAGAAAAAACACTCGCGAGTTAAAATCGTCTGAAAATTCAACTCGCCGTCTGAAACTTAAACTCAAACTCAGTATACAAGCAACAGAATAGAAAATGATTCACGTAAATGTAGGTATGTATGTGTGATGAAGATGAAAATCAGGTCACACGCAAAGCCCAACAACATTTCTAATCTATTAGTGAGCCGATTGGCTACAGATTGAGAACAGCAACATTGATTAATGATTTCAGAACTAAAGCAATTATCAAGCATAATTGACTGATACTAATACACATCATGCTAGCATCACCAAAAATTTAACCCTTTCTGGCGCAAATAAACTTTTCGCTTAGAACTTGGTTGTATAATCATAATCTTATACAGCTTGGGTCGCTGAATTTGAAGTCTGAATTCAAAAGTTTGCTTATTGCTTGTTTCGTGTGGACCATCAAAAATTCTACAATTGATTTAAACTTGTCTTCCTTCATAGCGTCGTATCACACGAGTCCCTTTTGGACAATGGACCAGCAAGAGTTCTGGTTAGCTTAAGCAGCTCCTTTACCCATTTGCCCTCCATTACCACCGGCCAGAAGGACCTTGTAACCTTGCGAATCTTGGGCTTTCACTCAGCGCCGACTAAAAGCCCAGAAAGAGGCCTATCTTGTAACAAATACTCCTATAACCTGCCTGTCAGGCCAGGAGTTCCCTTAATGCAGTTTGGCCTTCGGTATTACGCTGTTATATAGCCAGTCGGCTACCACTTTTATCCCGGCTGCATCTGCTTGAAACACGCTTTCGAATGCCGGGAGCCCAAACATGAGGTTTACGGAGAGATCCGTTCAACTTTCACTCATCCGTGAATATGTTTGCTGAACCCTCTTCCCAAAAGACTTTCTCTCTCTCACTTATTTTATTATCGTACGATTATTGTCTTAGCTAATGCGCCTAAAACTATGCGGTAGAAACTTAATTTTAAGCGCTCTAATAATGACAACTGTCTTTGTTATCGTTACGACCCACTGAGAATGTGACAACGACGAAAAATTGTTTATATTCAACGTGCGTTAAAAACGTACTACTGACGACACGTTTCACGTGTATAATGTAGAAAATTTTCTTTAACAAAAATTCTTCATTAGCTTGTTTTATGTTCCTCTAATTTGAAAAAAATCAATACTCAAAAATTAGTTAAGTTTAAACAATTTCTTAGCAATAGTCCCACCCTGTATGCGATGTTGCCCAACCGAAAATGCCTGTTTTTTGTGTATTTTTATAAAATGCCCTATACGCATACATTCATACATACACGACACATACGAAACAGCGCGCACAAAACTAGAATCATTAATTTTGCTATTTAGCTTGCCCCTATCCTGCTCCCTCCCCATTCTCTTTACTAAGGTATTTATGTACATATGTGTGGGAAATACTGGCGCTCAAAAAAACATTCAAATTTCGCTCGCACGTCTAGTTCCGCAGCAGGCGGCAGGCCAATAGCGGCGCGGCGCGGCGCAGCGGCAGCGCACTCACAAACATGCCGCGTTGTACTAGCATTTCGAACTTTTGCTGTTTTGCCGCTCATTTGGCGCTGCACTAAATAAGCCAACAACTATAATAGCTACAAACAAAAGCCAAAAAAGACGGCAACAACAAAAAAACAATAACTAAATGTTATTAATGTCGAGAGCGCACAGACCAAAACATTGCCCGCATAGTAGTACAATTCAGTTCAAAACGACGACTCTCCGTGACGTGCGAGCGAGCGGGTGAGCTAACGATCGCGCGCGCATAAGAGCAAACGAACTTATTCCACTAACCACTCCACTTTTTTCGTGGTGTTTTTCGAAAATAAATCGAGTGAAAAATATTTCTTATTACGCGCATACGGCGGGCATAGAAAAGTGGAAAAGTGGAAAATTGAATTTCGAAAACGTCAGCGACGCGCTCGCCATAGCGCTGGTTGTTATGAAATCGTCTGTGTACGTGTTTGTCAATATGTATGTGTGTGTGTGTGTGCCAAATGCCTAGCAGCAAATATAAAAGGCAACAGTTTTCTAAACGCATATCCAAAAAATTCGATTTTTCGAAACCTAAAAGGCAACAATAACAAAAACACTCATTTATATAGAATGTGTGACATTTAGGGAAGTGCGCGTGCCCAAAAATGTTTGATGGTAGTCCGTCCGCTAGTAGAATGGATATATCCGTTGTACGCTCAACGCTTGCCGCCGGTCGGTGGTGGTACTTTGTTGAACGCTCAGTGGCGATCACTCAGTATTTTCACAGACCTACAGACGAATAGAATGCGTCGACGATTTTCGACCAGCAAAACGAACAAGAAGTAGAAGTAGCAGTAAACACAAAATAGCAAATACAAACGAATTAGCGGAAATTTTGAAATACGCAATACGAATTTCAATTGATTGAGCAAACTTTTACAAACGCAACGAACTTTCATTTAGTAAAATTAGCGCTTTTTTTCCTGGGTACCCGACCTTAGTCACCACCAGAAAAAGGCTGACCAAAATCAACGCCACGTAACCAAAAACGAGAACGTGCGCGGCCAACACAATTATCATAGCAGTGCTGGTAGTGCAGAGACATACATTTGTAGGCAAAAGACTCGCTTGAACACGGGCCAACAAAGAACTAGTCAATCAAAGTGTGATCGCCGAACGATCGCGTTGAGTAAGCGACACATAAGTGCAATAAATATATGTGCATACATTTGAAATAACATGCCAAATTATCGCCAAAAAAATAAGAAAAATAAGAATAAGAATCGTCAGAAGCAACAACAACAACAAAATCAGCAAGACAATAAAAATAAAAGCCAAAACCAGAATCAACAGGCAAATCAGCCATCAGCCACTCAAAACCGGCAGTCAACCGGCAATAAAGACAATCAAAGTCAGGGTCGAGCACGACGTGAGCAATCAAATCAACAACAGCCACCGAAATCACCAAAGTCACCAACACCAACAACCACCGCCACTGCCACTACCCGTCCAACACCGCTTGCCCCGGCTGACGAGCCAGTAAATTCTTCACAGCAACACCACGCGAGCTCACAAGATGCGCGAGAAGTGGACTCAACCGCCACCACCGCTAACGCATCCACTGCCACTATCTTCGTCCAGAGTGACAATTTAAGTTCGAACGAGCCCAGTGATTTTGCAGCACCCACTAGCAGCCACCAAGCGATCACAGCTGCAGTTGACCGCGAAGAGTGCAACCGAGTGGAAGATGCAGATGCAGATGCACTACTTTCGATATTAGATAATAAGGAAGCGGCGACATACAGTGAAGAGACAGCGCACAGCTTTAGGAGCGAGAAAGGTGTGGAAGAGTTTACGATGGGCAATAAAGACTCAAAAACATCCATCACAAGCAATGACGCCACAGCGTTGGCGACAACGGATGATCGGGCAGTGGCAACAGCAACAGCCGATTTGTGCGGCGTGATCAGACCAGATCGCACCATAGTCGGTGCCAGAGAGTTGGAGACGTTGCAGCCCGCAACCAAAACGCAAATGGCAAAGGTTATTGTGCACAGAATAGTGCGAGAATCTAGCGAAAACGGTGAGGGGGAGAAGGAGAAGGAGCGGCAGAAAGATGAAGACATTGACAAGGTCGCACAAGTGGCGCGCGCTGGCAAACAAAAACTTGCGCAGGCCACTGAGGAACGACAGAAAACGGCTGTGAATGATGGACAAATTGGGGAACATGTGCTGCATGAGCAGTTGCAAAGTGCGGCGGACGATGTAGATGGAGCGCAGAAATCACAGCGATCGAAAGTGATTATACACAATATCGAACAGCAAGCGGGTGGAGGAGGAGTCGGGGTGTCGCTTCAGCCAGCGAAAGCTGAGTCCAAAGTGATCGTTCACCCGATACAGCAGGAAGTAGGAAACGAAGCGAAGAAATTACACACCAGTGAAGGTGCTAAAGTGATTGTGCACAAGATCGCGCAGGAACTACAGGATGTTGCGGCAAACAAAGGCGTTAGCCTACAACGACCGTTCGAAACAAAGGCAGTCGCTGACAACGCAAAAGGTATGTCTGATCAATTAATTGATGACGCCAAAGTCATTATACACCACATACAACTCGATTCAACATCCCCCATCAATTATCGTGTCGAATCGCCCGATGCTCTTAGTCCCACAGCACAACTGGGTAGGTCTAAACAATCCATACTTAATAAGAGTATCGTACAAATTCAAGAGATCAGCGACGAAAGCTCCAGCGAGTACAATGACAATCCACCAGTGATTAGCGAAGCCGAGTCGGAGACAGAATCAACAGCGGGCGCTTGCGCACTCGACTATGCGCAGACTGTGCGTACGCTGTCGCCCGATTCCGAAGATAACTACGAGTTCGTACATAGATCAACCGCCGCTCCCAGTCAAGAGCCGCAGCAAGATCTGAAGCAACGGCGCGCACAAAAACGCGTCGCGCTGGAAACACATTTCCTGCCGCAGCTGTTAAGTCCACGCTATCTGGATAGCATTCTAGAGGAGAATAGTGATATGAGTGACGCACGCAGTGATTGTTCCGAAAATCCCCTAATGACCACACTATCCGGTGATGATTTGCGTGACCAAGCTGCGGCGAAAGTGCGCAAAGCAAATGAGATATTTCCGCGCAGCAATTTGGACTTTTCGCGACGTCATGCGAAAAAACAGCTTGGCGCGTTGCCAAAAAAGCCATTACCCATACGCGAGGAGCCTGTTGCCATGGTAGTTGCTGCCAAACTAATTGAAGCAACAACACCAGCACAGGAATGTTGCGTACGCTTGTCCAGCGAGCACACGCCCGAATCGGAAGCAGCAGAAGTGATCTACTTGAGTAGTTCGGCATCGAGCAGCCTGTCCGATCTGGTGGAACTTGACGCGGAGGCAGGTGGGGGAGAGGGCGATGATGAGCGGGACGATAGCTGTCGCTCAACAGTCGATCTCGACACGGACGTGCGGGAAATCATAACAAAACCTGGCAGCGAGGAGCGCGCGGCTGCCGCAACCAACCAAAGTGATAGTCGCGAGAGTACACCTGTTAATCAGGCATCAACAAGGCTGTCAGAAAAAATAAAAGAAACGCATAAATTGCTTGCAAATAACAATACAAGTGTAGAACAAACAACAAAAACTGCTATTGACACAAATATTGACGCTGGCACAGTGAACGCCACAATCACTAATCCCATTGAAAGCAAAATATATGAGAATTTGAAAAGCTTGCAATTGCTAGCAGAGCCAAGTGGTGAGCGCGCGCTCTCCTCCGGTAGTGGCGCAACAACAACTACAACGTCATATCGCACGGCGGCAGCCACTACCAGCGAGTCAGAGACAGAGACCGAGATGAGCTCAGATACAACAACGGAGAGGTGTGAATATTTGCGCAGCTCGGACACTGGCGGCAGCGGCAGTGGCGGCAGCAGCAGCAGCCTCAACAGCAGCAGCATTGAAATGAAATACCCGCCGGCCACAATTGCGACTAGTGATAGTTTAAACGTTGACCCAGCAGTGCTGCTTGAAAATATTGAATTGGAAATGAATAGCGTGCGCGAAATTCTAAACTCGCATACGATCGAGACAACGGCGGCTACGTCGTGCGGGAACGGGAATTTCGACAATGCGCGTTCGAGTGAATTAAATACTGATCATTTTAATACTGCAAAGAAAGCCTCGCCCTCGCCCTCACCTCCGCCCATACCGCCACCACCCACCAGTGCTAGTGCTAGTGATTATCATAGTGATTTTACAGGTTTACAAACACAGCCACCCGCCACAGTGATCTCAGCACCACCACCAATTCCTGCGCGCGCCCCCCACGACTCCACCTACGTTGAAACATACACACCCGAACAAAAGAGTCCACAGCCAACCAGTTCACTGTATACCACTAATTCTGCTTTGACCTCACTATCCTTGCTTAGGCGCCAGGAATCCGCCGAATCCCATTGCTCCGACAGTACCCAACACAGTCAATGCACGGCCATCAATGTTGGCTCACGCCCACACACCGATCATGAGCTGACGCCACCATTGACGGCAACCTCCCCCATTTCAGATTATCAGCAAGAACAACAGCAACCCCACCAGTACAACAACTGGAACGATGCAAGGGACGAATGCACGACTCCCACAGCAACTTCAAATGCAACGAGCGCCCAAAATGATGCATCTATTAAAAAGCTTCGTCTGCTTTGCACCGAAACATTGGCATCCATGCCGTATGGCGAACAAGTGTTAGAAGAACTGGCCACAGTAGCGCAGAATATAGGTGAATTGCAAGCGAAAACGCCCACCCATCACGCGGAGGAGAAGAATTTCGCAGCGACAGAAAATACAGACGGCACCACCATGCCATACCCGTTACCCCAGTTACCGCACATAAGTGAATTGCAAATGTCGATCGCTGACGATCAGCCACCGCATGCTAGTGACCCCCAATCAAAGCTTTCATCGACCACCTCCACAACAACTACCCACACAGTGGCTATTAAACAGCTCGGCGATCCAGAACGCATGCCGCGTGATCTCACCACTGCAAATATGTTGCATTCTCCTTCGCCGCCACCAGTGCCCGCGCCACCCTCGCACTACAACGATGCGCCGTGGCTAGGCGTACCAACCGCTGCCGACCCCAATGTACTGGTATGCCTATCGCCTGCTCAACGTCAGCAGCTGGCGACCGATTCCTCGCAGCAGCCCGACCAACTTCTGGATGCACATCAGAAGTTTCTGGAGCGACGTGGCTATCACGAATACACCGAAGAACAGGTGAAAACACTCAATGCCGCGCTGCAGCAGGAGGAGCAGCAGATATTGAAAACAGCGGCGTATATGAAGAAATTACGTAAGAGCCTGACACCACCACCGCCGCCCGTGCCGCCACCACCAGTGCCATCGAAGAGCTCCGAAACAGCGGCGAAAGCACAAAATCAAGTAAGAACAGCCTCAACAAGCTCGTCGTCAGTCGGGTCGAGTGCGATGATCAGCAGCCAGCAGCAACGCGTTTATGACGCAACAAATTATAGAAATGCTAATGAGCAAACAGCGTCCACTTTCGCAAATGGAGAAGAGCCACAGCAGCAGAACCAAGCGTACCAGTCACAACAAAATCATTTGCAAATGCTAATAGAAAAAACTGGCAAACCAGCTGATGCTGATGCTGTTGCTGTTTCCGTCGCTGGCTCATCATCGCAGCAGCAACAAAAGACATCATCGCTTGAAAATAACTCAAGGCAATCGAGTGACGCTGCTTATGCTACTGGCGCACAGGGTGGCGAACCAGCTTTCGAAGGAAAGCAACCAGCCACCAGCGCCGATACACGCCAGTATTCAAACGCAAACGCGTCCGAACCAACCAGCAATAGAGCTACGTCCGATTTGTACGGTGGTAATAATTACGTAAATATTAGCTTCCCTCCATCAGACGCAGGCAAAATGCACGGTGTCGAGAGTGAATTGGCCAAAATGTTCCCATCCATGGGCGCAAGCAATATCTTCGATAGCAATCGCAAACGCTTCTCGAATATCGAGTCATCAACAGCATCGTCGGGTGGCCCTTACTGCGCCCAACTCCAGAGTACGCTACCGAAAAGGTACTCCAATATCGAGACGCACTCATACGAAGCGAAGAAGCGCATGGAGAATGGAGAGGTAGTTTATGATTATACCGATTCGCATCATGAGCGGCAGACTGATGGCGATAAGTCATTGGATAGCACGTCCACACCATCGCTGCTGCATTTCCCCGTAAGGGAGCCATCGAAAGAGTTATTACAATATCCCGTGGATGGCGATGGCATGTCAAGCAGGAGCGTAAATAGTGAAATTATGTCAGCAATAAAATTAAACACAACAGAAAATGCCAAAACAACCGAACACGATGCCAAAGCAGAAAGAAAAGAACAAGCAAACAGCATGAGAATGACCAATTTCACCAACCCCGGCGCCACCACATCCGCAACCACCACTTCTTCTTCAACAACATCCCACTTCGCCAATCGTTCGTTTGGCACAGCAGCGGAGACCACAATAAGAGAAGAAGACATTAAAAATAGCAAAGAGAACGGTGGCACAGTGCAGCCACTTACAAGTGGTGGTGCGGGCAATGGCAGTGTCAGCGGCATCAGCACCGCTTATGAAGAATTTAGGCAACGTGCCAAGGCAGCAGCGGACGCATTCGGTGCTCTCGGCGAGACACCAGCCACCGCACCACCGCTCGGCACAAGCAATACCAAGAATTCCGCTTTCAATTTCCAACATGACAGACTATTCAAGGACTTTGATGCGCTGTCGCAACAATTGAACATGGAGCTCGAAGAGGGGAAGGCGCAACGCCAACAGCGCGAAAAATCTGCATCACTTTACGACCTCAGTCGCACGCAGTGGAATTTCAAGGACCATTTCGATCAGCTGAAGAAACAGCGGCACGAACATATGCAAGAATTAGAGCGCGAAATTGAGCGTTCAGCGCGCTCCCGCCACTCAAAAGGCCAAGTTTCAACTGGCGCGCCTGCGGGCGTACGAACTTTTGAAATACCTATACGCATCGAAGATCGCAATGGCAAAAACCACCACGGCGCCAGCGATAGGAGCTCAGCGCCCCGTGAGCTAACGCAACCACGCTCCTACAACATACCCATTGTAATGGAGAATGGCGCAGCGCCTAAGGTGCCGCCGCCTCCATCCCCGTCAGCACAATATGATACCGTAGACGATGCCTCACGCTTCAGGCGCGCTGAATCTATGTTCAATCTATCCGAGAACACCGCGCGTCCGCAGCCGCAAGCACACCAACAACAACCGTTTACCAGCTACGAGCGTCCGCAATCCTCCGCCGCTGACGATTGGTCGCGCTATGCCAGCGACTTCGGCTCATCGGAGAATATCACGCGACCATTCGCGCGCGAGGTGGAGATCTGCTATCAGCGTCAGAGACCACGCACAATACGTGCACCAAGGCTTTCCGCATCCACCAACGATCTCTCGTCCAACTCGCAGTGCTACGACAGCTACAATGCTTACAATGTGCGGCGTTCACATGCACCAATGTTGCAACCTGTGGCACATCAGCAACGCCCACAGCATCACGCCAGCTGCTACTCGGTGCTCGAACGCGACCCCAATCCCACTTACATTAGCACCACTACGCGCCGCGGCGTCTCACCCGCACCAGTATCGCCCGCGGCGCAGCCAGGCGCACAGGAGCCGCTGTATAGTCCACATGCGCCAGAGCGACAGCGTCGTGCCTCATTGCCACGTGAAATACAAGAGCAGCAGCTCAAATATATCAGCAGCAAGGAAGAGGAGTTGCGCATGGAATTCGAACGTTTGCAAAATGAACGCCGTCGGCTGCTTGATGAGTTGAATACGCCACCAGTGACGCTGCAGATGCCACAACATCCCATGCGCGACATCTACCGACCGATGCCAAAGTTGCCCACACTCACCGAGGATGAAGTGTTCCGCCAACAAATGGCCGAAGAGTGGCTGAGCAAGGTGGCTGAACGCGAGGAGCGCCGCTTGCAAAAGATAATCAAAATTTCGAAAGTGAATGAGACACAACAAGGACACCAACCACCGGTGCCACCTCATCAAAAAACCGATATCAGCGATGAGTTTCTCAAACGCGTGCAAGAACGACGCACCAAGCTTGCAATGCCGGCCGATAGCGATTGGGAGAGTGGCGCCGAATCGCAACCCGCTGCGGCTGGACACGCCAGCGAAAGTGATGCGGAAGTGCCGCCTGTAAAGGTGCTCGAGGGCAAATCCGAAACAGATTTGCGGCAGTTGCCACGCCATTTACGTGAATTTGCGCGGTTCTCCAATCACAATGAAGAGAAGATCGACGGTGGGCATAGGGTGGTGCATCAGGAGGAGGAGCGCAGGCAAGAGGCGAATGCAAATTCTATGAGTAGTGCAGTGAAGAAATCGTCTATGGTGAAAACTGTGAAGATTGCCAGACAACCGGAAATCGTGGGCCAGGCGAGCCAAAGGTTGCCGGCCAGCGTTCAACAGCGCCAACAACAACAGCAGCGGCAACAAGAAGGGCACAGCCGAACTACTAGCGGCAGCGAACAGGGTGAGTGCATGCAAAGTGTGAACACTCCTCCTACCATACAATTTATTCGTAAAAAAACATTTGCTTCAGCTTCTAGTGCTACTACTACCAACTCGATATCCAACTCCAATTCCTCGACTTCCACTACCGTTACTGATACCGATATTGATACTGATACTACTACCGCTACACCCATTACAAGTGCTATACGCGATAGTGTTGTCGCAACGGGTAATACTGAATCTAACGAATCCTCTGAAACCTTGCCTGCTCTGATTGGTGCTGGTAGCTTATTGGGTACTGCGATCGTAGTGGGCTTGTCCATCTGGAGTGCTTTTCACTGATTTCGCAATAGTTAGTGCCGAGCTAGAGTAGAATTTGATTTGTCGAAACCAAAATTTAAATTTCAAAACAAAATTTTTCCTCTTACATTTTTTT